ACCAATCACATTTAAGGAACTGATGGACGTATAAAATATGTACCAAGGCACAACCAGGTATGCTATAGGGCCCCTGGAATGTCCCAAGGGCCCCCACCACCCCTAGGTGGTCCCAGGGCCCCCTCCCGTTCCTGGGAGTGTCTTAGCGGGTCCCGCCGACCCTGGGAGGGTCCCTAGGGGCGCGGTCACACCTGGAAAGGTACTGTGGGCCTCCACCGCCCCTGGGAGTATCCTTAGTACCCTCGCCGCTTCTGGGAGGGTTGCAGGGGCCCTGCCGCCCCTATGAAGGTTCCTGGGGCCCCCGCAATCCATGTGATGATTTCAGGGGGCGCTGCCGTCCCTGGGAGGATCCAATGAGTCCAAGCAGCCCTTGGAAGGGTCCCCGATGCACCTGGGAGGGTCGCAGGGGGCACCACCTTACCTGGGTGAGAACCAGGTCACCAGCTGCCTCTGGGATGGGTCCATGGGGCCTCTGCTGCCCCTGGGTGGGTCCCAATGGCCCCAGCCACTACTTGGATGTTCCCTGCCGCACCTTGGAGGCTCCCTGAGAGCGCCAGCCCTGTATGGTCTCTGGGGGAACTTGTTTTTGTGTTATTTATAATGCTGGGAGATGCAAATACATCGCCCATCATCACATTTCCAGTATTATCGCATACTTATAAACGGAATGGAGAATAATATCCAACAGGAAAACATAAGTTGGGGTGTTGTGCTGACTGACTGCCCTCTTCTCCTATTGGCTGTAATTTGGTGGGTAGATATTTTAGTCCACCAATCATGACAAGGAACCATTGACATATAAAATATGTACCAAGGCACGACCAGGTATGCCATAGGGCCTGAAGTGCGGCCCCTGAATGTCCCAAGGGCCTCACCACCCCAGGTGGGTCCCAGGGCCCCTCCCGTCCTTTGGGGCCGTGTGTCTTTGAAGGGTCCCGCCGACCTGGGAGTAGTTCCTCAGGGGCGCCGTCACCTGAAAGGTACCAGGCCCCACCCCTGAGCATCCTTAGCACCCTCAAAGGCTTCTGGGAGGGTTGCAGGGGCCCTACCGCCTCTATGAGGGTTCCTGGGGTCCTCGCAATCCATGCGATGATTTCAGGGGGCGCTGCCGTCCCTGGGAGGGTCCAATGAGTCCCAGCCGCCTTTGGAAGGGTCCCCAACGCACCTGGGAGGGTCGCAGGGGGGCACCACCTTACCTGGGTGAGAACCAGGTCACCAGCTGCCTCTGGGATGGGTCCCTGGGACCTCTGCTACCCCTGGGTGGGTCCCAAGGGCCCCAGCCACTCCTAGGATGTTTCCTGCCGCACCTTGGAGGTTCCCTGAGAGCGCCTGCCCTGTATGGTCACTGGGGGCAGTTGTTTTTGTGTTATTTATAATGCTGGGAGATGCAACTACATCGCCATTATCACATTTCCAGTATTATCGCTTCCTTAACAACGGAATGGAGAATAGTATCCAACAGGAAAACATAAGTTGGGGTGTTGTGCTGACTGACTGCTCTCTTCTCCTATTGGCTGTAATTTGGTGGGTAGATATTTTAGTCCACCAATCACATTTAAGGAACTGATGGACGTATAAAATATATACCTAGGCACAACCAGGTATGCTATAGGGCCCCTGGACGTGCAGCCCCAGTAGTGTCCCAAGGGGCCCCACTGCTCCTGGAGGGTTCCAGGACCCCCTTTCGTCCCTGGGAGTGTCTCAGTGGGTCCCGCCTACCCTAGGAGGGTCCCTAGCGGCGCTGTCACACCTGGAAAGGTACTGCGGGCCTCCACCGCCCCTGGGAGGATCCTTAGTACAATCGTCGCTTGTCGGAGGGTTGCAGAGGCCCTGCCGCCCCTATGAGGGTTCCTGGGGCCCCTGCAATCCATGCAATGATAATAGGGGGGGGGGGGCCGCCGTCCATGGGAGGGTCCAATGAGTCCCAGCCGCCTTTGGAAGGGTCACCGACGCACCTGGAGGGTCCCAGGGGCCACCACCTTATCTGGATAGGATCCACGTTCCTGGCTGCCTCTGGGTGGGTCCCTGGGGCCTCTACTGCCCCTGGGTGGGTCCCAAGGGCCCCAGCCACTCCTAGGATGTTCCCTGCCGCACCTTGGAGGTTCCCTGAGAGCGCCTGCCCTGTATGGTCTCTGGGGGCAGTTGTTTTTGTGTTATTTATAATGCTGGGAGATGCAACTACATCGCCATTATCACATTTCCAGTATTATAGCATCCTTAACAACGGAATGGAGAATAATATCCAACAGGAAAACATAAGTTGGGGTGTTGTGCTGACTGACTGCTCTCTTTTCCTATTGGCTGTAATTTGGTGGGTAGATATTTTAGTCCACCAATCACATTTAAGGAACTGATGGACATATAAAATATATACCAAGGCACGACCAGGTATGCTATAGGGCCCCTGGACGTGCGGCCCCTGGAATGTCCCAAGGGCCCTCATCACCCCTAGGTGGTCCCAGGGCCCCCTCCCGTCCCTAGGCGTGTCTTAGCGGGTCCCGCCGACCCTGGGAGGGTCCCTAGGGGCGCTGTCACACCTGGAAAGGAACTGCGGGCCTCCACCGCCCCAGGGAGGATCCTTAGTACCCTCGCCGCTTCTGGGAAGGTAGCAGGGGCCCTGCCGCCCCTATGAGGGTTCCTGGGGTCCCCGCAATCCATGTGATGATTTCAGGGGGCGCTGCCGTCCCTGGGAGGGTCCAATGAGTCCCAACCGCCTTTGGAAGGGTCGCCGACGCACCTGGGAAGGTCGCAGGGGGGCACCACCTTACCTGGGTGAGAAGCAGTTCACCAGCTGCCTCTGGGATGGGTCCCTGGGACCTCTGCTACCCCTGGGTGAGTCCCAAGTGGCCCCAGCCACTCCTAGGATGTTCCCTGCCGCACCTTGGAGGTTCCCTGAGAGCGCCTGCCCTGTATGGTCTCTGGGGGCAGTTGTTTTTGTGTTATTTATAATGCTGGGTGATGCAACTACATCGCCATTATCACATTTCCAGTATTATAGCATCCTTAACAACGGAATGGAGAATAATATCCAACAGGAAAACATAAGTTGGGGTGTTGTGCTGACTGACTGCTATCTTTTCCTATTGGCTGTAATTTGGTGGGTAGATATTTTAGTCCACCAATCACATTTAAGGAACTGATGGACGTATAAAATATATACCTAGGCACAACCAGGTATGCTATAGGGCCCCTGGACGTGCAGCCCCTGTAGTGTCCCAAGGGGCCCCACTGCTCCTGGAGGGTCCCAGGGCCCCCTTTCGTCCCTGGGAGTGTCTCAGTGGGTCCCGCCTACCCTAGGAGGGTCCCTAGGGGCGCTGTCACACCTGGAAAGGTACTGCGGGCCTCCACCACCCCTGCGAGGGTCCTTAGTACAATCGTCGCTTCTCGGAGGGTTGCAGAGGCCCTGCCGCCCCTATGAGGGTTCCTGGGGCCCCCGCAATCCATGCAATGATTCTAGGGGGGGCCGACGTCCATGGGAGGGTCCAATGAGTTCCAGCCGCCTTTGGAAGGGTCACCGACGCACCTGGAGGGCCCCAGGGGCACCACCTTATCTGGATAGGATCCACGTTCCTGGCTGCCTCTGGGTGGGTCCCTGGGGCCTCTACTGCCCCTGGGTCGGTCCCAAGTGGCCCCGGCCACTCCTAGGAGGTTCCCTGTCGCACGTGGGTGGTTCCCTAAGAGCGTCAGCCCTGTATGGTCTCTGGGGGCAGTTGTTTATCTGTTATTTAGAGCGTTGGGAGATGCAACTACATCGCCCATCATCACATTTCCAGTATTATCGCATACTTAAAAACGGAATGGAGAATAATATTCAACAGGAAAACATAAGTTGGGGTGTTGTGCTGACTGACTGCTCTCTTCTCCTATTGGCTGTAATTTGGTGGGTAGATATTTTAGTCCACCAATCACATTTAAGGAACTGATGGACATATAAAATATGTACAAAGGCACGACCAGGTATGCTATAGGGCCCCTTGAAGTGCGGCCCCTGGAATGTCCCAAGGGCCCTCACCACCCCTAGGTGGTCCGAGGGCCCCCTTCCGTCCCTAAGCGTGTCTTAGCGGGTCCCGTCGACCCTGGGAGGGTCCCTAGGGGCGCTGTCACACCTGGAAAGGAACTGCGGGCCTCCACCGCCCCTGGAAGGATCCTTAGTACCCTCGCCACATCTGGGAGGGTTGCAGGGGCCCTACCGCCTCTATGAGGGTTCCTGGGGTCCTCGCAATCCATGCGATGATTTCAGGGGGCGCTGCCGTCCCTGGGAGGGTCCAATGAGTCCCAGCCGCCTTTGGAAGGGTCCCCAACGCACCTGGGAGGGTCGCAGGGGGGCACCACCTTACCTGGGTGAGAACCAGGTCACCAGCTGCCTCTGGGATGGGTCCCTGGGACCTCTGCTACCCCTGGGTGGGTCCCAAGGGCCCCAGCCACTCCTAGGATGTTTCCTGCCGCACCTTGGAGGTTCCCTGAGAGCGCCTGCCCTGTATGGTCACTGGGGGCAGTTGTTTTTGTGTTATTTATAATGCTGGGAGATGCAACTACATCGCCATTATCACATTTCCAGTATTATCGCTTCCTTAACAACGGAATGGAGAATAGTATCCAACAGGAAAACATAAGTTGGGGTGTTGTGCTGACTGACTGCTCTCTTCTCCTATTGGCTGTAATTTGGTGGGTAGATATTTTAGTCCACCAATCACATTTAAGGAACTGATGGACGTATAAAATATATACCTAGGCACAACCAGGTATGCTATAGGGCCCCTGGACGTGCAGCCCCAGTAGTGTCCCAAGGGGCCCCACTGCTCCTGGAGGGTTCCAGGACCCCCTTTCGTCCCTGGGAGTGTCTCAGTGGGTCCCGCCTACCCTAGGAGGGTCCCTAGCGGCGCTGTCACACCTGGAAAGGTACTGCGGGCCTCCACCGCCCCTGGGAGGATCCTTAGTACAATCGTCGCTTGTCGGAGGGTTGCAGAGGCCCTGCCGCCCCTATGAGGGTTCCTGGGGCCCCTGCAATCCATGCAATGATAATAGGGGGGGGGGGGCCGCCGTCCATGGGAGGGTCCAATGAGTCCCAGCCGCCTTTGGAAGGGTCACCGACGCACCTGGAGGGTCCCAGGGGCCACCACCTTATCTGGATAGGATCCACGTTCCTGGCTGCCTCTGGGTGGGTCCCTGGGGCCTCTACTGCCCCTGGGTGGGTCCCAAGTGGCCCCGGCCACTCCTAGGAGGTTCCCTGTCGCACGTGGGTGGTTCCCTAAGAGCATCAGCCCTGTATGGTCTCTGCGGGCAGTTGTTTTTCTGTTATTTAGAGCGTTGGGAGATGCAACTACATCGCCCATCATCATATTTCCAGTATTATCGCATACTTAAAAACGGAATGGAGAATAATATCCAACAGGAAAACATGAGTTGGGGTGTTGTGCTGACTGACTGCTCTCTTCTCCTATTGGCTGTAATTTGGTGGGTAGATATTTTTGTCCACCAATCACATTTAGGGAACTGATTGACATATACAATATGTACCAAGGCACGACCAGGTATGCTATAGGGCCCCTTGAAGTGCGGCCCCTGGAATGTCCCAAGGGCCCTCACCACCCCTAGGTGGTCCCAGGGCCCCCTCCCGTCCCTAGCCGTGTCTTAGCGGGTCCTGCCGACCCTGGGAGGTTCCCTAGGGGCGCTGTCACACCTGGAAAGGAACTGCGGGCCTCCACCGCCACTGGGAGGATCCTTAGTACAATCGTCGCTTCTCGGAGGGTTGCAGAGGCCCTGCCGCCCCTATGAGGGTTCCTGGGGCCCCCGCAATCCATGCAATGATTCTAGGGGGGGCCGACGTCCATGGGAGGGTCCAATGAGTCCCAGCCGCCTTTGGAAGGGTCACCGACGCACCTGGAGGGTCCCAGGGGCCACCACCTTATCTGGATAGGATCCACGTTCCTAGCTGCCTCTGTGTGGGTCCCTGGGGCCTCTACTGCCCCTGGGTCGGTCCCAAGTGGCCCCGGCCACTCCTAGGAGGTTCCCTGTTGCACGTGGGTGGTTCCCTAAGAGCGTCAGCCCTGTATGGTCTCTGGGGGCAGTTGTTTTTCTGTTATTTAGAGCGTTGGGAGATGCAACTACATCGCCCATCATCACATTTCCAGTATTATCGCATACTTAAAAACGGAATGGAGAATAATATCCAACAGGAAAACATAAGTTGGGGTGTTGTGCTGACTGACTGCTCTCTTCTCCTATTGGCTGTAATTTGGTGGGTAGATATTTTAGTCCACCAATCACATTTAAGGAACTGATGGACGTATAAAATATATACCTAGGCACAACCAGGTATGCTATAGGGCCCCTTGAAGTGCGGCTCCTGGAATGTCCCAAGGGCCCTCATCACCCCTAGGTGGTCCCAGGGCCCCCTTCCGTCCCTAGGCGTGTCTTAGCGGGTCCCGCCGACCCTGGGAGGGTCCCTAGGGGCGCTGTCACACCTGGAAAGGAACTGCGGGCCTCCACCGCCACTGGGAGGATCCTTAGTACAATCGTCGCTTCTCGGAGGGTTGCAGAGGCCCTGCCGCCCCTATGAGGGTTCCTGGGGCCCCCGCAATCCATGCAATGATTCTAGGGGGGGCCGACGTCCATGGGAGGGTCCAATGAGTCCCAGCCGCCTTTGGAAGGGTCACCGACGCACCTGGAGGGTCCCAGGGGGCACCACCTTATCTGGATAGGATCCACGTTCCTAGCTGCCTCTGGGTGGGTCCCTGGGGCCTCTACTGCCCCTGGGTCGGTCCCAAGTGGCCCCGGCCACTCCTAGGAGGTTCCCTGTCGCACGTGGGTGGTTCCCTAAGAGCGTCAGCCCTGTATGGTCTCTGGGGGCAGTTGTTTTTCTGTTATTTAGAGCGTTGGGAGATGCAACTACATCGCCCATCATCACATTTCCAGTATTATCGCATCCTTAAAAACGGAATGGAGAATAATATCCAACAGGAAAACATAAGTTGGGGTGTTGTGCTGACTGACTGCTCTCTTCTCCTATTGGCTGTAATTTGGTGGGTAGATATTTTAGTCCACCAATCACATTTAAGGAACTGATGGACATATAAAATATGTACCAAGGCACGACCAGGTATGCTATAGGGCCCCTTGAAGTGCGGCTCCTGGAATGTCCCAAGGGCCCTCATCACCCCTAGGTGGTCCCAGGGCCCCCTTCCGTCCCTAGGCGTGTCTTAGCGGGTCCCGCCGACCCTGGGAGGGTCCCTAGGGGCGCTGTCACACCTGGAAAGGAACTGCGGGCCTCCACCGCCACTGGGAGGATCCTTAGTACAATCGTCGCTTCTCGGAGGGTTGCAGAGGCCCTGCCGCCCCTATGAGGGTTCCTGGGGCCCCCGCAATCCATGCAATGATTTAGGGGGGGCCGACGTCCATGGGAGGGTCCAATGAGTCCCAGCCGCCTTTGGAAGGGTCACCGACGCACCTGGAGGGTCCCAGGGGGCACCACCTTATCTGGATGGATCCACGTTCCTAGCTGCCTCTGGGTGGGTCCCTGGGGCCTCTACTGCCCCTGGGTCGGTCCCAATGGCCCCGGCCACTCCTAGGAGGTTCCCTGTTGCACGTGGGTGGTTCCGTAAGAGCGTCAGCCCTGTATGGTCTCTGGGGGCAGTTGTTTTTCTGTTATTTAGAGTGTTGGGAGATGCAACTACATCGCCCATCATCACATTTCCAGTATTATCGCATACTTAAAAACGGAATGGAGAATAATATCCAACAGGAAAACATAAGTTGGGGTGTTGTGCTGACTGACTGCTCTCTTCTCCTATTGGCTGTAATTTGGTGGGTAGATATTTTAGTCCACCAATCACATTTAAGGAACTGATGGACATATAAAATATGTACCAAGGCACGACCAGGTATGCTATAGGGCCCCTTGAAGTGCGGCCCCTGGAATGTCCCAAGGGCCCTCATCACCCCTAGGTGGTCCCAGGGCCCCCTCCCGTCCCTAGGCGTGTCTTAGCGGGTCCCGCCGACACTGGGAGGGTCCCTAGGGGCGCTGTCACACCTGGAAAGGAACTGCGGGCCTCCACCGCCACTGGGAGGATCCTTAGTACCCTCGCCGCTTCTGGGAGGGTAGCAGCGGCCCTGCCGCCCCTATGAGGGTTCCTGGGGTCCCCGCAATCCATGTGATGATTTCAGGGGGCGCTGCCGTCTCTGGGAGGGTCCAATGAGTCCAAGCCGCCCTTGGAAGGGTCCCCGATGCACCTGGGAGGGTCGCAGGGGGCACCACCTTACCTGGGTGAGAACCAGGTCACCAGCTGCCTCTGGGATGGGTCCATGGGGCCTCTGCTGCCCCTGGGTGGGTCCCAATGGCCCCAGCCACTACTTGGATGTTCCCTGCCGCACGTTGGAGGTTCCCTGAGAGCGCCTGCCCTGTATGGTCTCTGGGGGCAGTTGTTTTTGTGTTATTTATAATGCTGGGAGATGCAACTACATCGCCATTATCACATTTCCAGTATTATAGCATCCTTAACAACGGAATGGAGAATGATATCCAACAGGAAAACATAAGTTGGGGTGTTGTGCTGACTGACTGCTCTCTTTTCCTATTGGCTGTAATTTGGTGGGTAGATATTTTAGTCCACCAATCACATTTAAGGACCTGATGGACGTATAAAATATATACCTAGGCACAACCAGGTATGCTACAGGGTCCCTGGACATGCAGCCCCTGTAGTGTCCCAAGGGGCCCCACTGCTCCTGGAGGGTCCCAGGGCCCCCTCCCGTCCCTGGGAGTGTCTCAGTGGGTCCCGCATACCCTAGGAGGGTCCCAAGCGGCGCTGTCACACCTGGAAAGGTACTGCGGGCCTCCACCACCCCTGCGAGGGTCCTTAGTACAATCGTCGCTTCTCGGAGGGTTGCAGAGGCCCTGCCGCCCCTATGAGGGTTCCTGGGGCCCCCCGCAATCCATGCAATGATTCTAGGGGGGGCCGACGTCCATGGGAGGGTCCAATGAGTCCCAGCCGCCTTTGGAAGGGTCACCGACGCACCTGGAGGGTCCCAGGGGGAACCACCTTATCTGGATAGGATCCACGTTCCTGGCTGCCTCTGGGTGGGTCCCTGGGGCCTCTGCTGCCCCTAGGCGGGTCCCAAGTGGCTCCGGCCACTCCTAGGAGGTTCCCTGTTGCACGTGGGTGGTTCCCAAAGAGCGTCAGCCCTGTATGGTCTCTGGGGGCAGTTGTTTTTCTGTTATTTAGAGCGTTGGGAGATGCAACTACATCGCCCATCATCACATTTCCAGTATTATCGCATACTTAAAAACGGAATGGAGAATAATATCCAACAGGAAAACATAAGTTGGGGTGTTGTGCTGACTGACTGCTCTCTTCTCCTATTGGCTGTAATTTGGTGGGTAGATATTTTAGTCCACCAATCACATTTAAGGAACTGATTGACGTATAAAATATATACCTAGGCACAACCAGGTATGCTATAGGGCCCCTTGAAGTGCGGCCCCTGGAATGTCCCAAGGGCCCTCACCACCCCTAGGTGGTCCCAGGGCCCCCTCCCGTCCCTAGCCGTGTCTTAGCGGGTCCCGCCGACCCTGGGAGGTTCCCTTGGGGCGCGGTCACACCTGGAAAGGTACTGTGGGCCTCCACCGCCCCTGGGAGTATCCTTAGTACCCTCGCCGCTTCTAGGAGGGTTGCAGGGGCCCTGCCGCCCCTATGAGGGTTCCTGGGGCCCCCGCAATCCATGTGATGATTTCAGGGGGCGCTGCCGTCCCTGGGAGGGTCCAATGAGTCCAAGCCGCCCTTGGAAGGGTCCCCGATGCACCTGGGAGGGTCGCAGGGGGCACCACCTTACCTGGGTGAGAACCAGGTCACCAGCTGCCTCTGGGATGGGTCCATGGGGCCTCTGATGCCCCTGGGTGGGTCCCAATGGCCCCAGCCACTACTTGGATGTTCCCTGCCGCACCTTGGAGGTTCCCTGAGATCGCCAGCCCTGTATGGTCTCTGGGGGCAGTTGTTTTTCTGTTATTGAGAGCGTTGGGAGATGCAACTACATCGCCCATCATCACATTTCCAGTATTATCGCATACTTAAAAACGGAATGGAGCGTTGCCGTCCCTGAGAGGCCCATGGAAACTCGGCTGTTTCTGGAGGAGCCCCTGAGAACGCCGCTTTCCCTGAGAAAGCCTCTAGGATTGCCGTTGTCCCTAAGAGCGCCCGTGTTGGATCCAGCGCCCCTGGTGGATCTAGCGCCCCTGACAGGTCCCATGGGGGCACCGCCGACCGATGAGAGGGCCCTGGGGGTGCCTCCGTGCCTAGCCTGGCTAAGTTACCCTCAGAGTGATAACGTCGATCCCAGGGTCCCT